GCCCGCTTGCAACCCCGTAGACAAGAAAATAAAAATTCAACCCCTAACAGTTCGTCAATTATACGTATTTTTAATGTGAATTCTATTTTATTATACGCACTTACACTCTGAAAGGGGTGCCCTTTTTGTAGCGTATCCAAATTTTAATTTCTTTTGCTAATTATACTTAAAGAGCCCGCTTGCAACCTCGTAGACAAGAACATAAAAATTCAACCCCTAACAGTTCGGCAATTATACGTATTTTTAATGTGAATTCTATTTTACTATACGCACTTACACTCTAAAAGAGTGCCCTTTTTGTAGCGTATCCAAATTTTAATTTCTTTTGCTAATTATATTAAAAAAGCTCGCTTGCAACCCCGTAGACAAGAAATTAAAAATTCAACCCCCAACGGCCAACAGTTCGGCAATTATACGTATTTTTAAATGTGAATTCTATTTTATTATACGCACTTACACTCTGCAAGGGGTGCCCTTTTCGTAGCGTATCCAAATTTTTATTTCTTTGGACAATTATACTTAAAGAGCCCGCTTGCAACCCCGTAGACAAGAACATAAAAGTTCAACCCCTAACGAATTTGCAATTATACTTATATTTTAATGTGAATTCTATTTGATTATACGCTCTATACTCTGCAAGGGGTGCCCTTGTAGTGTATCCAAATTTTTGTTTCTTTGGCTAATTATACTTAAAGAGCCCACTTGCAACCACGTAGACAAAAACAAAAAAATTCAACCCCTAACGGTTCGGCAATTATACTTATATTAATTTGAATTCTATTTTACTATAGGCACTTACTCTTTGCAAGGGGTGTTCCTTTTGCAGCCCATCCTAGTTTTTATTTCTTTGGTTATTTATACATAAAGAGCCCACTGGCAACCCTGTAGACAAGAACATAAAAATGTAACCCCCCCTTCGCAAAATATGTCTTTTTTGTAGCGGATCCAAATTTTTATTCTTTTGGTAAAATTATACTCAAACCTGACTTGGAATCCCGTACACAAAAATATAAAGATTCAATTACTAACAAAAGGGGCAATTTTACCCCCATTTAACTTAAATTACGTTGCGGAGATCCTAATGGGGGACCACTTTGTACATTAAATAATATCATCAGATGAATGTATATTTTCTTGTTCATTCTATCGTAGCTATATTATTCAGTTTCTCTTTCTTGGAAACAGGTCAGGTTATAGTAATGGATAAATGGCTTTCAATACACATAAAGGCATAAAACTGTATAAGCCATTTAGAAAGTTTAGAGACTTCGGGGATTTGAGAAAGGCCAGCAGGAACTTCAAACACTAACATCAGAAACTGTAAAAATATTAGAAAAAGACTAAAGAAGAATTTTGTACAGGAAAGTCATGAGAGATTTGTGACAGATATTTAAATATGGATATCTGCAGAAATTGTGTCATAATCTGCACTGAATCGCTGTGAAATTACTTCAATATACTTGAACAGTCTTTGAAGAAGTTTTTTTTTGCGATTTTTCCTCTGAAGTATGGGGAAGTTCTAAGTTTAATAAGAGTCGAGGTCTCAGGAACATTCAGGGGAGCATTCAACCCAACAAATGTTACTCATGACAAGTTTTTATTTTGTCGATTGTAATATAAAATTAAATCAGAGGATGTTTACGTATTTCAGTGTGGGACTAGAAAAAACAACTCGTGTCAATTTCATTTAGTAGAGAATAGCCCGTCTTTATAAACAAACGCGTTCATCGGCAAGCTCTCTTTACCGCGTATTAGCAGTGTAATTAAGTAAAAGGGAGGTCAATTTGTTCCATGTGTAAAACGAAATTACAACAAAGAAAACTGTTCGTAAATTTAAACTATTATAAAATTTGTGACTGGTCTAGTAAATAGAAAATTCAATGTAACAAAAGGAGATGCTGCCTGAAACCACCCTTAGTATTTTCTGATTTTTTTTCAATATATAATAATTTCTCACTTGGTGGTAATTATTTTACTGCACAGTAAGTACAAAGTCAAAGGACCTATTTTTAGCAAATTTGCAAATAAAGGAGGGAGATCTCTTGTGTAAACCAGGGGAGTGAAAAGATGACATTAAATAAGGAACCGTAAGAGCTAGGTGGAGGAATTTTTTAACAATTTTGTGATACAGTTTTCTCGTTGCATTTTCCCGTTTAATAAAAAAAATTGCCAACCACTTATTTGCAACCAAGCTACCGGTGCAACTCAAAGTTCACGGCCTGGGAATTTTGGAGATTGTAAAACTTAAGGAAATGTCTTCACGAGCTTTAGGGAACCAGAGAATTTTAAAGGCAGTCGAGGTTTTGGAAATCTTAGGGATTTTAGAATGTTTTGAACTTTCTGGGACTTTAGAAAACGAGCAGATATCCATTGCTTTAGACAAATTTTCCATAAGAAAGCTCACATTTTAATTGAGTAGCTGGAAAGAATAAGAGTGCTTTGTACTTTGTTTCTATTTCTGCTGGATCTTGGACTAAATTGCGAGAAAGCATGTCTCTAACAAACACGCTTCCACTCAGAGATCTTATGGAGAAAGTCGTTAATATTATTACGGAATCGTATAGTAAAAAACACTTACACAGCTTGCAAAGATATTGCCCATTGTAGGTAAACTTTCGCATTTACGTTCAAAGTTTCGGAGTCGAACGTCAACAGTTAAAAGAGGAATTAATCAAGCGTCTATGAGAACTTAAATCCAACTAGGAAGTTGTTATATAATTGATTTTGAGACGACTGGTTCTAATAATGCAAACGATTTTCCTTCCGTTTATTAGTCCATGGAAAATCAATTACGGATGATCAGCGTTCACCTGCGAATTAACTGAAAAACTATCCTTCTTAGTAAAGTGGATTATTCTAGTTAAAACGATACTAAGATAAAAAGCTGCGAATGTTGCACTTTTCACGTGGAAAATAAATATAAATATATAAACTATTATTTTAGTAGATCATTGTAAACGATCACAGTCAGTAAAATTCACAATAGTATAGGATGGCCATAAATTCGAATTTCTTGACGTGTATGTCTTCCTGAGTTCAGAATTTAACTCCAGCCTTCCCAACACCTCCTTCGAGCGTTTTCATTGCTACTTTCGAACCTTCTTGGGGTCTCCTTCTTTTACGTCTCTTTCGATCATTTTCGACTGCTCCTTCAAGGCTTCTCGCGTGAAGTGTACAAAACAAAGGAACACAAAAATTCAGAAACTAGCGCTATTTGCAATGTTACTCGCATTTTCAGGGGCGGACTGGGTACTTACGGGCCAGGTGGAATTGCATAGGTTACGGGCCATTAAAGTATTAGTGTAGTAATGAAGGTGGCGGGTGGGGGAGCTCTGAGGTGCACCACAATAACATTTTAAAGTACTCCTTTCTCGAAAATCAATTACCATACAGTTTTTTTTAAATTGCAGCTGATAATTAAAAGTAACAAAATATACAATATCCACACGAGGTGCGTCGCCTATCATTGAATTTCAGCACTTTCATGCTACGACAAAAAATGATAAATTCATTGTAAAACACTTCTGACTTCAATTAAAACAGAATTTTTTAACAACCTAACATCAACCCCAATTAGAAAAACGTGTTAATAATTTATTAATAGTGCAAGAAACTAAATACAGCACATACTTATAAATTTCCAACGGGCCATTATGATCTACAGGCCAGGTGGCAATCGCCACCCGCCCCCCCGGGCCAGTCCCCCCCTGCGCATTTTTTACCAAAAACTAATTCATAAGGATGTGTATTTCGTTTCGGAATGAACACTGTGATTATATGAAAAATTCCAATAATTGATCACGAACTCCATGTTTCGTGATGTTCTTGGCAATGTATTTGAAGAAAAGCGCCTTGTTGTTTGTGGGTATTTTCGAGTGAACCTATTCAAGCTGCATATAATGAGCTGTTGAATTTAATGAAATTGGTAACGTAAGATCAAATACGTACTCCCAAACAAATGGCCTTCCTCAAGGTTCATTACTCAGCGTTACCTTATTCCTGATCGCAATAAACGATATCGGTGACCACGTCCACTATCCAGTGCAAGCAATGCTATACGCCGACGACTTAATAATCTTGACAAGAAACGACGACATAGAAGCTATCCGTCAAAATCTCCAAAAAACCTTACAAGACCTGGACAGCTGGAGCACAAGCACAGGATTCAATTTTGCCGCCCACAAAACCAAATGCATCCACTTTACACGAAAACATAGACAAGACAACCCGCCCCTTAAACTGAACAACATACAGCTGGAATACAAGAGCCAAATAAAATACCTTGGAGTCATATTTGACAGTAAGCTAACTTGGGCACCACACATAAAAAAACTAAGAACCGACTGCAAAAGACCACTAGACATAATTAAAACAGTCTCACATACAAGGTGGGGTAGCAACAAAGAATCGCTCTTACGAATATTTGACACCTTAGTACAGTCCAAAATAGACTACGCCGGTTTTATAACAGTAAGCCGTAATAAAAGATTAAACAAACTGGTAGAATCAAGGCCTACGATTAGTTACCGGCGCTTTCAGATCAAGCCCAGTAATTAGTATCTACAGCGAAACCGGGAAAACCCCTCTAAAATACAGATACAACCAGAAGTTATTAAAATACGCAATTAACATTATAGCGAACAAGAAACACGCGAACCATAATAACCTTGTCTACCCCCCTTTCCCAATACTACACAACAAAAACAACAAAAATATTCCCCCTTACAACATCCGAGCCTACAACCTCCTCACAAAACTAAACCTTTGGCAACGTGAATTTCTACAACCTACAAAAATAAACGCCCCATGGACCCTCCCCAACATCAAAGTCGATTTAAGCCTGACCAACCACAAAAAAACAAACACCTCACCGTTAGAGTACCACAGCCTCATAAACGAACTAATTGCAAAATACAGCGATTACAATAAAATATACACAAGACGGTTCTAAAAGTAGTGAGTCTGTAGGCAGTGCGATTGTCAGCAAAAACTTAAATACAATGTACAAGCTAAATGACGGAACGTCTATCTTTACCGCGGAACTATACGCTATCCTACAAGCGACCAAGCTCATACTAAGAAGAGATCACGAAGAAAAGTGGATTCTCATAACAGATTCTCTATCCGCACTCACCGCAATACAGCACATCTATTGCACGCACCCTTGTGTACAAGAAATACACACGACCCTAACACACCTAAGCCGAAAAAACAAAAAGATCGTCTTCGCATGGACCCCATCTCATAGAGGTATCACAGGAAACGAAGAAGCCGACCAACTAGCCAAACATGCCCTCACATCTGCAGAAGCAACAATCGAAAACCTATCCACAAAAGAAGACCACCAAAAATACACAAAAAAAACCGTAAGAAGAGAATGGGAAAGAGAATGGTCCTCATGTGAAAACCTACTGAGGTCCATAAAAGACGACACCCAGAAATGGAAAACCAAAAGGTCATTCACCAGGAAAGAAGAAGTAATTATAACACGACTCAGGATTGGGCACACGCATCTCACCCATGGGTACCTTATGGAAAAAAACCCTCAACCCCCTCCCCGATGCGAAAACTGCAACAGAGGGCTAACAGTGAAACACCTTCTGATCGAGTGCCCAGAATACACCAACCAAAGAACCATGAGCGGCCTAGCACAATAAAATCTTCAATGTATCCTGAACAAACACTCCGAACTACCAAATGTTATCAAATATCTTAAGGCAATTAACAAACTTGATCTCATCTAATGTAACTACATACATATGTAACAGTGCCAATGACCTCAGCAGTTGAGGCACTCAAATTTCATAATAAAAAAAAAAAAAACAAAAAAAAAAAAAAATTTTCTATTTTGAGTAATTTACAAATATCATTAAATGTGGTGGATATGAATTCACTTGCTTTCATTTCAGAGATACTGTACCGTAATATAAGAACGAAAGTTTTAGCTAATGTGGTAATATTGGGTAACATTTAAAGAAGTGGGCATTTCTTAACAAAATGTTCAAGATCTTTCTGTAATCCTATGCAAAAGTAATTACTTTTTTCATATTAAATAATAATAATAATAATAATAATAATAATAATGGTTTTTATTGGTTAAATAATGGTTCCTACACCATAACCAATGGGCACAAGGTCAGGTAAACCCGTTGATATGGTCACCTGTTCTTCCCCTTGAAACCCCCTTGTGTAAATACAAATAAATAAAGTTATTCTGCAATAGTTAAAGTTATTTGTAAAGTAAACAATTATTGACAGGCAGCTTATCGTTTGGAGATGCAACGGAAACATCGTAGTGGTTTCAATTACGTTCGCATTAACATTCGCTCTCTAATGATTCGATGTTTGATGTTTCTTTTGAAGACTGCAGCAGGCAGATACAGTAATTTTGTATTTTTAGGGTTGGTGCAAAATTTACAGATGTTGAATAAGAAAGATCGTTTGAATAATGATAATTTAAACATAGGAACAGATAGAAGTCCCCTGTGCCTCAAATTTAAGTGGTGCACGTCTGTACGAAAGGTAATTTTGCGGTAGAGATACGGGGGAATTTTACTGTTTAAAATTTTATGAAAAAATAAAGAAGAGTGAACTAGCCTTCTTTCCATCATATTGAGCCAGCCTAGCATTGGTAAGGTATGTGAAATCTGTTCGAACTTCCTAATTCCAAATATGAAGCGCAAGCATGAATTCTGGACACGCTGGATTCTATCACAGTCTTTGAGTAATAAGCACGGTCCATATACCACGTCACAATAATTGAACCGTGATAGAACCAGTGCATCACAAAGAACAGCCTTCTGCTTGATGCTAACAATGTGACGACTAGAATACAAGCATCTTAACTGATAATAAGCCGAAGCAATAAGGTTGTCAATGTGCTTAGTAAACCTTAATTTACAATCAATAGAAATGCCGAAATTTTTTACACAATCGGCTATTGGGACAGGTTGGTTACCAATTTGCAAGATTATTTTGCCTTGAATGTGCTTTTTAAGTTTATCGCTACAAAACACGATGAAGCAAGATTTAGATGCATTTATTTTCAAAGAGTGACTATCCGATGCCTTGGCTACCCTTGCAAGATCTTCGTTGATCTTTGCCACAGAGGAATTCAATTCACTAAAAGGAAACGAATGATATAGCTGTACATCATCAGCATAGAGATGATACTTACAATCGTTTAAACCAGACAACAAGTTAAAGGTGTAAAGAGTGTATAACAAGGGTCCAAGGATAGATCCCTGAGGAACACCCCTTGTAACAGGCACAAGATCAGAATGCACGTGATTTAAAATCACTTTCTGGCATCTACCAACGAGATAGTTTTGTATAAGGGCCACAGCCCCATCGCCCAGTCCCACAAACCTCAGTATAGCCTTAAGCACTTCATGACTAAGCAAGTCAAACGCTTTTGAGTAGTCAAGGAGTACCAATACTGATATGTTTTCACAATCAGTTTCCGTAATGATATCATCGAGTACGTTGTACACTGCAGTAGCACAACTATATCCCTTACGAAAACCTGATTGAAGTACGGGTAGTATGCTACGTGAATTTAAAAATTGTCGTAATTGACTTTCCAATACTTTCTCTAGCACTTTAGATAAGGTGGGTAATATGGTGATGGGTCGAAGATCGTTATAACTTTCAGCATGTGCTTTTTTTGGAATAGGTATAACCCATCCTTCTTTCCACACAGTAGGAAATATTGAAAACTCAATGCAATAATTGACTATGTGCACTATGTGAGGCAATAAGTGCGGGGAACACAATTTCAAAATATCAATATTTATACCGTCACAACCACTAGCTTTGGATGTCATTTTATTTAAGATCTTTTCAATTAGTGTCGCATCTATTAAAGAAAATGAGAAGCTAGCTGGGTCTCTATCGTAGCAGCTATTATTATAATAATTTATAATGTCAGGATTATCACACACACTGTTAACGTGTACAACAAAGTACTTGTTAATTTCGTTGACATCTTGCAAATTAGATGGGATAGTTTTATCGCTAGAGACGCCGTAGATGCTCATTTTCCTTAACGTCTGCCATGCGGTTTTAGCATTGTTCGATCTAAACGTAAATTCTAGATATGCTTTCTTCTCAGCTTTAATAGCAGCAGTAGTCATATTTCGTAAAGCTTTATAATAATCCCAGTGGGCTGGAGACTTGCTGCGTTTAAAGCGTTGAAGTGCCTTATTCCTTAATTTAATCATGAGACGGACGTTATCCGTTAACCAGGGTGTGTAGGGTTTAGTAAATCTTGATATTGTACTAGAATTACTAGCGCCACTCTTAAAAAAGCAAATAGATATAATCGATGGGGCGACCAGTTCCACTTGGACGTAGCCCCTATGTCATCCTTTACTTACTTCAAATTAATTTTTATGCACGAATTACGAGCTACTTAAGAGCTTTAATTTACAAGTAATTATAATTTCTGAGCGCCACTCTCACCAAATGTAAATCTCGTGTCCATCTCAATTCTGCGTAAATGAGAAATAAGTAATTAATAAATATCTCCTTGAAGTTTAGTAGCAATGTTTGTAGTACAGCCTTCGCAACCCTTCCATTCTATCAAACCACCAATTTCCTAGAAACCAATACCAATTTAAGTATTGACAATGAGGGTAAACTTTGGCAAATCGTACAATGACAACTTATCTAAAAGTTATAAAATGGTTTAATTAGAGTTTGATTTAAACTTTATTGTGCGTACCTATACAAAATTCCTTTGCCATTCAAAAGTACCAAACTATACACTGTTTTGTATAATAACTTGAACTTTGAATATTGGCAAAGTTTCTCTAAGAGGCTTTTAGTAAAACTTTTGTTAAGATTATGTTTGGAAAATTAGTGCTCAATTTTAAAATCCGATTGAACGTCTTTAAAAAGGGCATTTTTCCACTTTCATCTACCCACTACTGTGCAGTTTTTTTTCGAAGAATTAATTCTAATAGCAAAAATTGTCTGCAAACTAACGACTGAACGATGAGAGTTCGCAAATCGCTCCGACACGATTTGATTTGAGAGTTTTCACAATCACCTTAAATTCAATTCGAAAAAGTTGTTTTATAGGTCAACAGAGCGAGCCGTTTTTCATCCCCATTTCAATGGCCGGATAGAGTAACTGAACGTGATTTAAAAACCATCGAATTGATAGAAAATGATTATTTAAATCCTTACTGTGTATGTCGACCTGTTATTTATAAAAGCGAAATTGTGTACCCATTTGCATTTTAAATACGCAAAGTATATTTCCACAATTCTTTTTGGAAGTGTACGTTAATGCTTTTTACAGTGATGTGTGCGAAACACTCAAGTGCGAACCATAAATGGTTTTAACTTAATAATCCCATTCGACCTATCCGTTTTTTGTTTTTCGGGAAAATTTGTATTATTGGTATCACCTACTTATGCCCTTTTCGCTTTGAATTAAATGAAAGTCGCTTGCAAAGCAAAATTTCATTGTTTTAACCCAATAATTACGAAGACACTTTACAGAGATGTAAAGAAACAGTGCAATGTCCTCCGCCAATACCGATTCAAACTGAGACTTAAGTGAATAAACTCGGTTTTTTCCACACTAAGTATGTTTACATAGCATCATGCAATCGATGGAAAAGATTACGTATGTAGGCAACCATACAGACAGTGCTGCATTGTGGGCAGGATACCCATTACCAGACGACATCTACTGACCAATTACTCAAAAATGTTTTGGTAGTTATTTGTAACAGGTTGTCTACGAGTATGTCGCGAACTTTTATTAACAAGGTGCACATTATTATTTGGACGTAAAGGAAAAATAAAAAAAATTTGATCGTTTTTGCGTAATAACAACTCCCACAGAATAAATCGAGGAGCGACTGTAATCTTGACTTACCCTATACTAACGACCAGTGCTCCCGTTACTTTCATGTCAAATTGATGGACGATTAGCGGCACTTTCGGATTTGGGTGTGTCTACGGAAATTTTTTTAAAGGAAATTTCATAAAAAGTAATAATTTTGTCCATATGAAAAGACACGTACGTACGAGTGCGTACACAAGCAGGTGATGTCAGAGAAACCTTTTTCGAGGCAAAAACCCTTTCCTAGAAAATGAAACATATCTTTGAAAGGTATTCTCGAGTTGTTATGGCATTGTGCCCGGGTGCACCATTCTGTTGAAACCAACATATTATTCGTAATAAAAAATGAAAGGGGTTTAATTTTTGATTTAAGGGGCTTGAAATTTTCTTACGTGTGTTTACGACCGCAGTAAGTTTAAAACCTTATATAATTTGAGTAAGAAGAGTCTGTGTTTTAAAAATAAATTGTAAAAATAAATGCAATTACATTTTTTTATAAGTGTATAAGTGTTTCGGCGGAATAATTCAGTATTTTGATTTTTGTGTGTAAGTTATATTGGGCGACCAGTTCCTCCGCACAAGCTCTACATGTTGGCCCGCGCAATTCAAAAATTTGTAATGAATAACATTTTTAAATAGTGCTAGTGTTGATCCAATTTTAATTTGTGTAGGGGCCGCCCCTGCGTTTCACTGTAAGGAAAACTAATTTTCCAGACCAGCACAAATTAAAACTGGATCACTCTATTACTAGCTTTACTGTTTTAATTGCGGGTGGTAACTTGATGGAGTTGTCCTCAC